TTTTTTTTTACACAGCTAGCGTAGCACGTTGCTAACTATCACCAACACTGATTTACGAAATATTTGTCTGCTTTTTAGGCTATTCGAATTCAACGTGAAGTTTTTTTATTTTTTTTTTATTTTACATGAGACGTTATCTCAAATGTCAACCGTGAATAAGAAAGTGAGAGCGTCAATACAAAAACGTCATACCCCTGGAAAATTAAAAACTGGGTGTCAATTTTGCATTTTAATCTTTGAAAACTACATTTCCACACTCGTTATTTATGCGGAGACGTAAACAAATGTTCTCTGCCCCTAAAAACAAGTCGTTATTTATGCGGAGACGTAAACAAATGTTCTCTGGCGCTTGGTTTTCAGTATTGGAAGAAGGAATGAGAAAAACGCCCCTAAAAACAAGCGCATGCTTGAAAATCTGTGATACTCGCAATTTAAGGTACTGGAACTAGGTTCCAGGCCCTCCTGTGTGGAATCATGCATGTAAGATTAATTAAAGGCTTTAAATTGCTCACTTTTATTTGACTCATCAGCCTCGCCGTTCTAAAATGATCTAGGGTTAAAATATTAAATCCCGTCTACAGTAATCTTACTTTAAGTCACCTGACATAGGCTCTGCATAGGAAAGCATTACAGTATACAAAAATGAATGGATCTTGGATGGATACATTTTTCTTTTCTTTTTTTTTATCTTACAGTTTGATGAGTCTCCAACCTTCTGAAATGGACGCTTCACCGGTGTCATTTTAAAACCCGTTCTGGAACGAGGAGGCGGTTGGAGATGAGAAGCTGCCAAGCGAGAGCCCATCATGAGCATCGAGAGACTCGGCGGCGCGATCGGGGATTCCCTTGGCTCTAGCCTGACGGTACGCATGAGCGGCGCAGGCGGAATCCGGAGTTCTCTCTCCCTGAAATCCGCCGGTCGGATCACCTCCCTCCTCCAAACCATAGTCCCCACCAGCTACACCAAGCTCCAGGAGGAGCGCCTGCCTATGGCCGACCTCGGGGCCAAACCCGAAGCCGGCGCGCTCCAGAACGGCTACAGACAAGAGACGCTTCACCTGGAAGGCCGACGGCTGTTGGACCGCGCCTCTCGCTCCTCGGTCACTCTGTCGGACTCGGGAGATGGAAACTACTCGGAACTGGAGCCGATGTTGGCTGAGAGGAGCCTGTCCGGCGACGAGGCGGATGGCGAAGAGGATGAGGAGGAAGGGACGCAGCCTGCCGTGCACATTCTGCCCAAGGAGTCCCCCCTGGCCATGGCTTTTCAGATCCTTGTCCCTTTTCTGTTGGCCGGCTTTGGAACTGTATCGGCCGGTATGGTGCTGGACATTGTGCAGGTAATGTGAACCGTAGTTGAATTACGTTCTTTCACACTTGTTTTCCTGTTAGCAGATGCTCATCGAAACGAGAATTGCACCGCCATTGCCAAGGCAATGCAATCCTTATTCGGGTTAGAACCTCCTTCCCTATTGTTTGAGTGGAAAACGCGCATCGCCACATGGAAGAATTTTTTTAGTGCGGGGGGGACTTTTTATTCCAAGCGTTTTATTATGAAACAAGAATTATTGTGATACTTTGGTGGGACAAAAAAAAAA